CTGTGGTGCATGTCTACACTGCAATTTTTAATTGTGCCTGGCTGATGCCACCTGACTCAGGATAAGGAGCTGTTTAATTCTTGCATAACATTTGGATTGGGACTGAAGTCCAGTCTCTAAAGGCCTGTGAAGTTAGAAGGTCCACAGTTGAAGCATGGGGAACCTTAACCTCTAGACTTGAATTAAACAGCCTCTGAGCCCAGCAAGCCTGAATCAGTGGCATAGGCCATCTGTAAGCTTTTAATTGCAGTGTAGAAATGATAAACTGGACACTGCATGCTTTTCACTGCAGTGTATAAGTGCCACATTGCCTAGAAACTGCTACCAGGGATATGTAGTATAGCCTTAGCTTTAGGATGAATTAAGCACTTGGTATATTCTTAGGATGAATTGAGCACTTGGTAGTAAACACCACAATAAAGCATAAAGCAATCAAAGAGGACAACCCAACTAACTTCCCTGCCAAACTCATCTCTACAGCTCCAAGGCTTCCACTTCCACAAGTGGATGTCCAACTTGAGCCACTTTAAGCTGAATTTTGTTTTTTCAGAGCTCTCCAACCAGGGCTATGTCTGCACTTAAAAGTTTAAAGCATAGCTGTGCCTATGCTTTAAACTGAAAGTGTGGCCACTATTAGAGCGCTGGGAGAGAGCTCTATGTAAACTATTAGAGCCCTGCAAATTTGTGAATCTCTCTTTTATATCCACTTCCATGAATGTGGATATCCATGGCTCATTTTTTGCAGCTATAGAAGTACAGTAGATGGGAATACTCATTCTTCTATCTCCACAGAGCTCTATAAACCATCTCCACTGAGGGAAGTAACTCCCAGCGTTGTAGCCTGGTTCACGCCGGTGCTTTAAAGCGCTGTAACTTGCCACGTGTTAAATGCCAGTACCCAGCTCTGTTCCCTACTGAAAACAGCCTGAGCCTGACTTTCAAAACGAACTGAGGAAATCAAGGTCAATGACAAATACATCTGTAACGTCCTGGGGCTGGATTTGGGGGAAGGCCCGCTCAATGAAGGTGGGGAGGGAGTACCAGAGTCACGCCGGTGCTTTAAAGCGCTGTAACTTGCCACGTGTTAAATGCCAGTACCCAGCTCTGTTCCCTACTGAAAACAGCCTGAGCCTGACTTTCAAAACGAACTGAGGAAATCAAGGTCAATGACAAATACATCTGTAACGTCCTGGGGCTGGATTTGGGGGAAGGCCCGCTCAATGAAGGTGGGGAGGGAGTACCAGAGCCGCTAGCCTAGGCGACCCTGACTGGCAGGAGGCGGGAAGGTCAGGTAGGGTGAAACGTGGACGGAGGTGGCAGTAACAGGCACCAATCCAAGACAGAGGCCTGATCCCAGGGGCTGTCCCTCGACAGTCAGACCAGGCGACCCTCCTAGCTACGGCCAGCGTCCTGGCTCAGGCGAGGCGGGAAGGCCCCTCAGGCGGCGCCGTGCGGCCGCTGAGGGCGGAAAGGGAAGGGCTAGAAGCCGGGCTGCGCCAGCTCGGCTTGTGCGCGGCGCCCCGGAGGCGGGGCGGGGGCCGGCACGCGGAGCGGGTCGGAGTGAAGCCGAGCCGGCGCCGCGACTGAGGGGGGGCTAGGTGCAGCTGCTGGCCCCTCATCCGCGCTGCTGTCCGGCTTCGCGATGGTGAGCGCTTCCCTCCCTCTCTCCAGCCTGCCCGGGAGTGGGGGAGACCACAGAGCAGCTGGGCCGGCACCGCGTGCTGAACCCTGCAGGGCGGCGCTGCCTCTTGGTTCTGGTGCCCTCCCCCCTTTCTCTTCCCCTTTGTACTGTAAGCGTTTCCACTATCCGCCCTGTGTTATCAGGTGCGAAATCTATCAGGATGTGGTGTGTGTTTGCTCCTGGATGAGGAGTGGGGGGGGAGGGGTAAAGTCTGATCCTCATATCAGTGGGACATTTTAGTTCAGGTTCTCCCACCTCAGATGATTTGAGGAGAGTTGAACTGTCAGCCTGTGGCTTACTTTTTGTCTGAAGTTAAGCTGGAAGGAGAAGAATTTAGTCTTTGTTCCTGAAGCAGGATGGCTTGGAGGAGGATTCAAACGGTCTGGGGAACCTGGGGGCTGTGGGCAGCCCATCTGGCCTCTGATGCTCTGCCCCCCCCCAGTAATGAAGATCCTACTTTGGCACTCCTGCCCCCTCACTGTCTCCCTGTGGGGACTGGAGCACACAAAGTCTGGGCTCCACTAGGCTCTAGTGTGTGAGGGGAATGTGAGGAGTGTCTCTCCTCAGTTGGGGTTCACCTCAGTGAGGGTTGGTTTGGGTTCCTCTCTCTTGTGTATGCCACCAGATTGATTTTTCTGTGTGTCAGAGGCCTCCAATCTCAAAAAAGTTCCCTACCTTTCATTTAGGAGGATGTTGGATATCACCAGTTTTTTATTTTGTGATTTATACACTGGCTTCTTCCATAACTTATTTTTTTCACTTTCTTGGCTTACTAACAACTGCCTGAAATGTGGAATTATTTTGCTTCTGGGGTTTATTATTCTGCTGGTTGGCCTGTTTTGTGTTTCTTGTCATTGATCCAAGAGTGAGCACATCTCTGGAGTATATTATTTCCAGGTAAAGTAGCTTCTCACAGAATGGGTTCATTATAATCAGAATACAATCCATATGTTGCAGTGCATTGAAATAATTCAGGACTACCATTCAATTTCACTGTAAACTTAGGGTTCTACATGTCCTAGACTGAGACAGCATTGAATATGCCTTGTAATTTACAAAAATAGAAGTTTACCATTAACAATTTCTCCACAAAATTTTGCATGCATCTTTTCAGACTGATTTTTCGGGGAAAAAAAAGTTATTTGCATGCATACTTTGAACTGGCTTTTTAATGTCACTTGTTAATTTTCACGGGTTGTGGCACTGTGTAAACCACTTCTAATCCTATTGTTACAAGCTCCACTTGTGGCACTTACAATCACAGTGGTGAATTCAGGATCAGGTCCTTGGACAACATATCATCAGTGTATTTAGGCTGTGTTCACAGAGCTGCTGCACTTGAGCTACATTGCCCTAGCATAGTCTTTTATTACAATAAAAAAGGGTTTTCCCAGTTGCTGTGTAATAAATCCCCCTCCTTAGAGTCAGTAGCTAGGTCCTTAGAAGAGCTCTTCTCACAATCTAGGCTGTCTGCTGGAGGATAGGTTAATTAAGTATAGTTAGGATTATCTAAGATTTGGGTGTAGACCAGGGCTAAGGTCCCAGTCACTGGACTCACACATGTCCTTAACTATATAAATGTGAGTAGTCCCAATTACTCTCTATGCCATTGACTTCTCTATGTTCATTTTTGTATAATCAGTTTGGCTGCTTCCTCAGTCAGTTTTCCATAGCACAGGGAATCGAAGAATATTTAAAACATGTACACACACACTAGGTGAGATGCAAAGGCAGATGTAATAACTAGTCTACTTTTTAAGTAATATAAACTTGTCAGAAATCAAGTTGACTGTCCCTTTAACTGCCTATTATTCTGGTCATACAGATTTCCAGTTGCACTCCTGAATCTTATTTTTAGGAAAACTATGGCTTTTTTAAATAGTAAGAAATTATTATCTATGGAATTATTTTTACACACAGAGAGATTAAGGAACCTGAGATTTCTCAGTTTGGAAAATAAATGATAAAGGGAAGATATGATAGAGAGCTATAAAACCATCACTGGCGTGGAAAAAATAAACGACGTTTATTCCTTGGAACATAAAAACTATAGGGGTCCAAATGAAATTGATAGGCAACAGATTTAAAACAAAAAAAGGAAGTATTTCTTCATACAATGAAAGGTCAACCTGTGGAACTCCTTACCAGAGGATGTTGTTAAGGCCAAGAATATAAAATTAAAAGAACCAGATAAGTTCATGGAGGATAGATCAATAAATGGTTATTAGCTAGAAGGGGCAGGTCTGGGATAGCCTCTGCTTACCAGAAATTGGAAAGGGTGACATAGCGGTTGATCATTTGATGATTATGTGGTTTGTACATTCCCTCTGGGGGTCCCAGGCATTGGCCATTGTCAGATGATAGGATAATGAGCTATATGGAACTTTGGAGTGACCCAGTATAACCATTCTTGTTTAAGAATTTGTATCATAAGGGTTTTTTTTATTTTCTGAGGTGCATGTGCATACATGCATTTTATATATTTCTTACTATACTTTAAAAAGGTTTTTCCTGAGGAACAACAGAGTGATGTCATGTGTCATTCTGTGTCCTGCAGTTCCTCCCTCCATATGTGTCTTCCCCCTTCCCTGTGCTCCGTGGAAGCCACAAGCCATGAGGCCTCGTCCATTCTCCAACCTGCTCTGACAAGGCCTGGGATAGCAGGAGCTGTGTGACTCCTGGAGTATGCAGTTTTCCCGCTCCCCCAGTACTCCAGGGAGAGGCCACGTGGCTGCCCTACTTTGTACCACCTTCCATGATCTCCTATCGGCTCCATGCTGCACAGGCTTGCGTTTAACTCCTCCTCAGCACTCTGCCAGCCCGAGCGTCCCTCCGGCAGCTGCCACATGGGAAGATGGCTGCCAGAATTTAAATTAAACCGCGCAGGAGTGGGAGCTAGGTGGAGTGCGCAGGGCTGGGGCAAGGGTGTGTGTTCAGGAGCCACATGACCTCTGAGGGGCTCAGGTAGGGGAGAAGGGGATGCGCAGGAGCTTGGGTAGGGGGGTGAGGGGCACAGGGAAGCCGCATAACCACTTGGACG